TTTCCCTCAGCCAAGGTACTAATGAAGTATTTCTCCTCTGAGTGACCAATCCTCTCTGGAACTTGAAAATCTTAACTTTTGTAAAGCCAAAAATTATTAGTAAAGCTGAAAAAGCCACTTTTTTTTTTTCTTCTTTTTTTTTTTGAGGAAAAAACATATTGGTTAAAAAAAGTACTGTATCAAGAACATCACAGAAGATGATACAGAGACAGGCAAAAGAAGCATATGGAATGGGTCAGAGTAAACAAGGCCAGAAAACCAGGAGGAAAAGAGGACAACCTATGCAATTTTTACTTGTGTGCTGGTTCTATCTTCTCACAAAACATGCTTTTAAAAGTACTTTAAAAGAAATCTGCATATAATTTTGATATTTTCTTAATTAGGTTTTGTAAAAGATTTAAAAACAGAAATCTAGAGCTGAGGTTAATGCTTCATTGCAGTCATTCAAGTTACTCCCACCACTGCCTCTTCTAAGAAAAAAGATAATAGAGTATTTCCTGGTGAAGTGGATTGACAGATAATGGGGACAGGAGTGATATGAACTTTATGACAGTCCTACTATATTCAGTGGCATTGAGGAACCTATATACTGATCAGACATGCAAATTATGCAGAGATGTACTGCCATCATAAAGTCACCAGACTTCTAAATCATCAGCCTTACTTCACTGGTGTAAAGGGGAGTGGTGCCCATGAGAATCCATATGGACAACATTTACAAACTGCCTTCTGCTGATTTATGTCAGATAAAGGATCTTATCCTAGTGACTTGCAAATTACATCTTTAAGGGACCTGCAGGTTTACACAGTGATGAGAAAACAACTTACGTTCAACTTGATCAAACACTACAGAGAACAAGAAGTCTCTTGGTGTCATGTAATATTCTCCTTCGTATTCCAATGATGCAAAATGCATGAAGCGATGCTTCCGAAGAAATAGTCTTTCATCCTTTTCCACACTAATGACATCTTCTTTCTGAAACAGAAAAAAAATCCATGTAGAAATATGGTTGCATTTGTAGACAAACTCTGTAATTAGAAAGAATCCTATACCTGATGTTGACTAGCCTCAATATTTTGAGGGTAGCCACAACAAGAGACTACCAGGAATTAAAGCTTTAATGGCATTACATTAATGAATGACATGCTTATATGACATCCAAAGTATTTTTGGCTTCCCTGAGAGCATTCCTTAACAACACAGCCGAGCCAAATTAATGGCTTGCTGTCACCAAAGGCTGCCTTCATTCCCACTCCCCCGCTCTTAGCCATATGGCCCTGCACCGCTTTGTTTGCCAGCTCTGCTACTTGTTTGACTCTTGCTGAGCCAAATTTAGTTCTCTAACTCAACAAAAAACTAAACTGACCAAACAGCGAATAGTATTTTGTCAGGTTAGTGACTGGTTCAGCAAAAGCTGAGATGTGCTCTGCATCCAGGCAAATGATCCACTCCTGAAGTTAATTATCAAATTGTGGAACAACTCCTAAGATGGGAGAACGACAACATTCTAATTCAAATATGGGCCTGTCTTCCAGAGAGGTCAGAAAAACAGGAAAAGCAATAAAAACACTGACAAAAGAGTAAGAGGTAATATCACCAAACCCAAAGATTCGACTAGTCAAGCAATCAAAAAACTCCACTCCTCTCCCCCGCTTAAAAGTTGAGAGACTCATGACTGAAATAATACAAGCTGACAACATTGTGACAAGCAGGTCACAGTGGTGGAACTTCAAGCTGTGGCAAATAATCAGTCCATTGACAAAAACAGGTCAGTGGACACTGAGACATCAGAGAACAGGATGGAGCATTTCAACTTTGAGTCTTTGGGTCTCATTTTTCTTTACTGAGGTTTCTAACTGCACATGGGGACCATATTAACATAGGATTTGGCAATCTCATGACAGTGGGTGCAACTGGCAAACTTAGAGCCATAACTGGGATGAAACTATTACCATTATGTATTATATTATACTTAATTATAGTTCTAAATAGAAGGTTGCAACTTGTAATTTAATCCCATGTCTTGCACCTTTGTGTTAGCATTGCTAAAATACTTAAACGAATGGTAAAAGCACCTTGTTACAGTCAATTTTCATAGAATGCCAGGTTGGAAGGGACCTCAAGAATCATCTGGTCCAACCTTTAATTTGAGTTTCCCCATAATTAGGTTTGCAGATGACACCAAGCTAGGAGAGAGTGTTGATCTGCATGAGGACAGGGAGGCTCTACAGAGAGACTTGGACAGATTAGATCGTTGGGCTAATGTTAATGGTATGAACTTGAACAAGGCCAAGTGCCAGTTCCTGCACTTGGGCCACAACAACCCCAGGCAATGCTACAGGCTTGAGGAAGTGTGGCTGGAAAGTGTCGACATGAGGGTTCTAATTAACAAGAAGCTGAATATGAGCCAGCAGTGTGCCCAGGTGGCCAAGCAAGACAGTGGCATCCTGGCTTGTATTAGAAATAGTGTGACCAGCAGAAGTAGAAAGGTGATTGTCCCCATGTACTCAGCACTGGTGAGGCCACACCTGGAGTACTGTGTCCAGTTTTGGGCACCTCAATTCAAGAGAGATATCGAGGTGCTGGAGCGAGTACAGAGGAGGGAAATGAAGCTGGTGAAGGGCCTAGAGAATAAATCTTATGAAGAACGCTTGAAAGAGCTGGGAATGTTTAGTTTGAGGAAGAGGAGGCTGAGGGGAGACCTCATCAGTCTCTACAACTACCTGAAAGGTCATTGTAGAGAGGTTGGTGCTAGTCTCTTATCACAGATAATCAGTGACAGAACAAGAGGGAATGGCTTCAAGCTGCAACAGGGGAGGTTTAGACTGGACATTAGGAAAAATTTTTTCACAGAAAGAGTGGTCAGACACTGGAATAGGCAGCCCAGGTTGAGTCACTATCCCTGGATGTGTTTAAGGGTTGTTTGGGTGTGGTGATGGTGGATACGGTTTAGGGGAGAACTTTGTAGGGATGATGGTTGGATTCGGTGATCCCAAGGTCTTTTCCAACCTGAATAGTTCTATGATTCTATGATATAGTGTTTGCTTCTGCCAAATCTCAGGTTTCGGTGAAGGTGTAGAGGAGGGAGAGAAGGGGATCAAAAGCAAGAAAAAACCAAAAATACTCCTAATTCAGAATTAAAACAGTCACATTCTGATATGCAAGGACATGCACCATGGCCTATGGAACAGAAGCTGCACTACTGCTGCTGTTCTGTGTTTCAGATCTGTACATTCTGGAAAACATTTTAAAAAATTAAATAAAACGAGAACTTCAGCTTTACTCTTATTAAAACTCTTGGGGGACAACTGACTCCATAATTGCTTAGTTAACAAGATTGAACAAACATTCCATATAGCAACTGAATAGTTCACAGTTGCTGCGTACTAACATGCAGCATACATATTAAAATCATCTCCTTCTCATAATAACAGGAGCAATTTTTGCCCAACAGCAAATATTTTAAAAAAGGAAAATTGCTTCACAGTTGTCCTTTAACTAAAATTATGGAACGAAAAGCAATCTTTCCACACAAATACAATTTTGAAAAGTTTAGACAAGAAGTAAAGAGCTAATCTTACAATATCTTCAAACCATCTGTGTTTTCAAGTCTTGCAGTATTTGTCTGAATTCTGTCTAAAGTTAAACTTATTTCTAATATCAAAGCACTGAATTTCAGCAATCCACAATTTTAACTGAAATAGATAGGTATAAGTTCATATATTAACTCTGAGGAGTGCCTTGTATTTGATAGAGAACATATTCTCATCAGAATTACAATAATGCATGACTGCAGATTCATCAAGCTCCTTTTGTTTTGTGACACTACCATCCGTGATTGCCAAAACAGCCCTGGGAACACAGGTAATTTCTTATGAAAGTCAGTTTCAAATGAGCTAAGCAAACCTTACGGAATGAAATGCACCAGCTGTGTCACCTCCTACTTTGTTTTCAAAGCTTTTGCAAAATTCCTGACATCCTGTCACTGCATGAGAAGCTCAACCTCTGCTAAAAGCCCTCTGACCCCTCCGGACACCAGCGTGAGCTACACTAGAGCTCAGTTGCTCACATGTAACTGGTTAATACTTCTGAGGAGCTTGTGGCCCTAAGAGTGAAAATTTGTGGCACTCCAATAGCAGTGAAACAATTTATACCAGCTACACAGCTGACCTGCCATCTTTAGGATGACAAGTGATGAGAACGGCAGTTCTCAAGTGCAATTACAGGCACATTTTTTAGTTGTCTGGACATATCAGTTCAGAAGCTGCAGGGCGGGACGGAACACCACAAAAAAAAAAGTTGACCTTCCTTCCTACAAAACACATTTGCACAATTTTATTGCATGAGACACTGAAAATCTGGTCAACATACTAGAGGGTGGAAACTCAAAGGAGAAGAGGCTGCAGCAGCTGTGTTACCCACTTCAGCCAGAATAGAAAGTGTATAAGGAATGTGGAGATTTTACTGTTCAGAGGAGGTAGGTAGCATCAGTGTCCATATACTCAAATAGCACGTCATGATCATGTAAGGCCTTTTCATTACCATCTTTCTCACAATGATTTCAAAAACCAACAATGCTATTCAATTTGGTTTAATACCAACTACAGACTTGAATCTGCTATGTTTGGCATCAGAGACTAGACATTCACAATCAAGCTCTAATGACACTGCAAAAGTGATGACTCTTCAGGTGTAAGCCATGTAATTTATAATTTGACAAAAACAGTCAATACTATTATTTTTGCAATTTTAATTAAATTGAATAGAGCTGGATGTTTGCCCTCAGTACTGATGATCATCTTCTTACTCTTCTTAATTTCTCCCTCAAACATACTGCCAGCATTTAATTAAGCTTTGAGTAACATCTCATATTTTGATCATCACACTTCCATTAGTGACACTGCCAACTATGACCCTCCTACTGACTCAGTTCTTCTCTCCTTCTCCACACAAAACCACTCTTATAACCTAAACAAACAGTATGACCATACTAATACTTCACTATGATTATTCTCCAAATTAAAATAATAATTTAAGAAAGTGTCCTGGAGCATAATTACCAAATTCTCTGCTTTAACTATATCACTTCTTTCCACCAAACTGCTTACTGTTTCTGGACTACTAATGACAGTGATCAAGTTATTCCTGAAGCTATGTTTTAGGATAGTTCCTAATACTAGGCAAAAGCAGATCTACTGTCTCAGAAAAGTGGACATGGGCATCCTGAAGCAGGTACAGGCCATGTCATGTGGCTAAGTGTAAAATATAGACAAGCCTACAATAGCAGCTTACATGCTCTTTTAAAAGCTGTACCCCCTGCTTCACTGTTATTCCATTCACCAACATGTTTCCATGTCTTCAGCAAGCAGGGATGCCAGATGTACAAAGGATAGTTGGCAAAGGAGAGAAATACATGGGAAGAAGTAGAGAGCTACAGATTTTTTTTAAAAAAGATTAGAAACTTAACTCTTATTTTCTGTGAAAAGGGATAAATGACTGAGCAACTATCCTAATCACTATTCCAAATGCCTAACCAAGCACTGAATAAAAATTAAGTTTTGAAGAAAATGCTGATTAAATAGCTTAAGATTCATCTTCTTTTAAAATACCAATCTTAAAGCATGCATAGATGAACAAGCTCTCAGCAATTCAGTATCCTTCCCACTTCAATTAAGCCCTGACTAATTTCCAAGTACTTTGTCCTGAGTCATCCAAGGAGTCCTTCAGATAAAAAAGATTTGACATTCCTGACATTTCTAAAAACACTGTCAAAGCTCATTTTGCTCATAAAAATGCATGTACAGGGCAAAAAGCAGTTTTCCTCTTTAATTCCATTCAGCAAAATGAGTTTCAAGTAAAGACAGGTATAATGTAGGAAACAAGAACAGACTTCAGATATTAAGGTATCTGTAATCTGACACCTCAGCAGTTTCCAACAGTGCAAATTCAAAGCAAGCAGGGTACAAAAATTCAAGTTTACTGAGAGTCAGTGGGTGAGAAGAATCTGTTACTATTGCTTGCATCAGAT